TGTAATATATAAAAATGTGAGATGTAATGTGAGGTAATTTTTGTTACTCCTCATCCTCAGATCTTGAAAACAAACCCAATCTTATATGGTTATATTTCTATTTTTTAATATTTATTTCTGATTATCTTTTTGTTTTTTTTATTAGAAATAGTGGGCCACACAAATCCATTAACCAACCTGAAGAAAATAGTGATCGACGATTTCGACGCGAAACATATGCCTCCTTTGGGGAAATTGCCTTCTCTAGAATCACTCAATATAGGTTTGATGCAGAAAGTGAAAAAGGTGGGAATTGAATTTTTGGGGATAGAAACGTCTTTGTCTCCATCTTCATCATCCGTTTTTGCCTTCCCCAATTTGAAGTCATTGACATTTAGCTCGATGGGAGAGTGGGAAGAGTGGGATTATGAAAGCAGAGGAGAAGAGGATATCACAATCATGCCACGTCTTTCTTCCTTGTCAATTCTTGATTGTGAGAAGTTAAAGATGTTGCCAGATTATATTCTCCAGAGTACTACCCTGCAAAAATTGACAATTATTTCAAAACGCTGCAAAGAAGACTACCAGCCCTTTATCAACCGCATTCCTCACTCCAAAGTGTCAGACTAGGATTGGGGAGTCGGACTCGGACTTTTGAGTAACTCGCAAAAAAAGAAGGTACTGTATAATTTTGCTTTGCTCAGTGTACTTACCCTATTTGATTTTGTTTGTTGGTAAGCAATGGGGCGAAAACCCGTTAATTACCCATACACATTCAAATAATAATATTAAACCAAACAAATTACTAGTAAATGTATAAGTTGATATTTTTGCATTCTTTTTCTTTCTTTAAAAAAATTTGCCATTTTATAGTACAAGATGCATTAAGGCTGAATTTTATTTTATTTTTTTATTTTTAAAATTTTAATTTTTATGGTATATATATTTCAATTGATATAACATTCTATTTAGTGATTTATGTAATTTGTGGTAATTGTTATTGCTCCTTTTTCTTTCCCACACCATGGAAGCAATTTCATTTTCTGTTTTTCTTTTTCTAATTAATTATTCTTTCTGATTTCCATTTTCTTTCCTTCTTTTCATTTTCAGGAGACCCGAAGTGGATAGTTTCTGAAGTTGTGTACATGGTGGAAGGATGATGGACCGGCCTGGCTCATGGCGCCCACCCTAGCTTCTATGTGTCAACTTTTTGGCAAAGCAGTTAG